TTTTGCCGATCTTTTGTCTGACTCCGCCCACCTCGGGCTGGCCCCGCCCCCAATTTTTGTGCCCCACAATCTTCACCGACGACCCTCTGCTGACCTTAATCCACTTTTTTCCGGTCTTCGGAGTGCTCTGGGACCGTTTTGCAGATCTTTTGTCTGACTCCGCCCACCTCGGGCTGGCTCCGCCCACAATGTTTTTGCCCACAATCCTGAACTTAACCCACTTTTTTCCGGTGTCTGGAGTGTTCTGGAACCGAGCTACAAACTTTTAAAATGAATACCCTGCGATTTAGGGCAAGCTCCGCCCACTGTGGGCGGGTCTCAACACACTTTGAGCGTGCCCTATATTCGCCGGATATTTACATTCTACACTGAGTTTTTTGCGACTTCCAACACTCTCGCGAACCGGGTTACTGAATTTTGCGAGAAGCACCGCCCACCTTGAGTACGCCCCGCCCATTTTGGATGTGTCTGCCACAGTTAGTCTGGCGACTCCTTACTAACCTTATTCCCTTTTTTCCCCATCTTTAAGCTGCTCCGGAAGCGAATTATGAACATTTTTCTGCGGAACCCCAAACTTTCGGCGAGTGCCCCGCCCACTGTGGGCGGGGCTTCCCATAGGTCAAGTGTGCTTTTTATTTCTTGTCCCATGCCCTACCCATCCCCACCTTGACCCGACCTCTCCAAGTCGTTCTTCAGGTCGAACCGAATTTCCGGACAGACAAACTTACAAACAAACAAACAAACGAAGCGAATTATATATATGGGGTGCCCATTGCACTGAGTCGGGGCCCAGCGCAGCAGCGCGGCACGCGGATGCTTTGCTCTATCGATCGATCGACTAGTGATCGATTTATGAGGGAAACAATCAGTGGTGGAAAGGCCACCGGCGGGACCAACTGACTGCGAACCGACTGGTAGCGGTGATATCAGGTGTACATTTTGACATTTTGGCAATGACATTTTCACGGAGCGGCTATCGAATTTGGGGGAATCAAGTAAAGGAGTAGAAGGGTAAAACTTCAAAATAGGTATAATGCAGGGAATGATTGCACACGAATTCTGTTGCATAGTCAAAGGTGCAATTTGTTGTCCCTAGTATAGTCACCATATACATACAACTGACATGACATATAGCTAAGCATTTCATCAGTGTTTTACTTCAGGGATTTTGCTGTTCAGCAAACGATGGGCAAGTGTTGGAAAGAGGAGTCCTGCAAGAAATTGTATGAAGAGTCAGTTCAAGCAGTGATGGCTTATTAACTTGGACGGTGTGAGCTCATAAACTCGTGATCTCTTTTTGCGCTGCAGACAAGTGAACTAAGGTTTTTCTGCAAATGATGTGCAGCGGTTCAGCTATGAAGTCAGTGCCCCTTATTTATTTATTTATTTTATACTTGTGGCATAAATCTCAATATTGTCATGTATTTTTACACAGAAAGCGTTCGAGCACATTCAGGCCTGAAAATGAGGAAGAAATAAAACAGCTGTCAAGTAATCGTCTACACTGAATACGGCGAAAGTCCACTTCACCCATCAATTGTTACATTTACGTCTTCAAGAAAAGTCATTTCGCCTAGAAGATTATTCAAACACGTAGCTGCTTACGAGAAGGGAAATCACCACGTTTGACTAATATGAGAGGTAGATTGTTTGCCACTGAGGCAGGAAACAAAAGCGAATTTCGCTTTTTAGCAGAAGATATGTTCGAGTCATTAAATTTCGGAGCTGAAGGTGAGTAGCAAAATAGTAAAAAGTAGCGGTGAATATCACTCCGTCTAACAGACTTATGCTTTTTCCCTTTGCTTGAATTCTTCATATATTCCTATATGTTCAGTAATGCGTGCAGTTTCTTCTTTTCCATCGTCATCGTTTTTCTTCTCTGATAAGTTCCGAAACTCTCGAAGTGGTGGTCTGTGTGGATTACTGCTGGTACCAACGAGCCAAAAAGTCTCCATAACACCTTTTCCCTGAAAAAGGGGCTCATGTTCTGGGAATCCTTGAGAGTATTTTCAAAACGATATGGGAATGCTGCGCACGTTCCTTCATTGACATACCTTCACTATAATTTCTCCTCTAGATTCAACCTCATATCCTCCAACTGCTGCGAGAAGAAGTTGAGCTTCAAACGAAAGATGAATTTTTCCCGCTTAATTCGAAGAAATTATCGAACAATACTGTCAAGCCGTAACGGTTCAGCGCTTAATTTTGGAAGACAAGAAGAAAAGGCATTTTCTGTAGGTGTTGTAAAGGTAGTTCGGCACTATTGAACTATTCCTACCCCAAAAAACTCAAAAAAATTTTTTCGCTGAAACGTTGCCTATAGATGTAATTCGATGCGCTCACGAATATCACATCCGTTTCGAGCGCTGGCGTCATTTGGCGCCATTATGCGCCAATTTGGCGCCCACCACTTTTTTCACCAAAGTTGATGAAAACTTGCATATGGGGGTTAATTGACATCCTGATCACGAATATCACACTGGTTTCGAGCGCTGGCGCCATTTGGCGCCATTATGCGCCATATGGCGCCAAATTGGCGCCAAATGGCGCCAGCGCCAAAAATAAATGTTGGATTCGTAATCAGGACCTCAATTAACCCCAATATGCAAGTTTTCATCAACTTTGGTGAAAAAAGTGGTGTACGCCAAATTGGTGCATAATGGCGCCAAATGACGCCAGCGCTCGAAACGGATGTGAATTCGTGATCAGCGCATCGAATTACATCTATAGGCAACGTTTCAGCGATAAAATTTTTTTGAGGTTTTGGGGTAGGAATAGTTCAATAGTGCCTGATTCAAGCTCCACGGGAATGAAACTGCTTTTTTTTGCATAAAATGAAGGATTTCTCATGACGTTCCCACAACTTGGAAAGAAAGTATCTACCACGAGCTGTTTCAGTGATACGGCATGCTAGGACAAGACCACCACATTATAATTGGTCGACAGTCATTGAAATCGCCGTTTTCTGCTCAACTATGAAAGGAAGGAAACTGGATATTCCCACAAAGTACAGCAATAAAGTCAAAAATTTCTAAGCAGGACTATGATTGGTGTAACCTGGAACCACGTTTTTGCGGTAAGAGTGCATGTCCATCAGTTGCATAAAGACAGTCATAGCAATTAGTCCTATTAACTATTTAAGATGCACCTCCAAAGGGACAGCGTTTCTCTTATTGATGGAGTCGTCGCGGCAGTCCGATAGTGACTGAAGTGGCGGTCAAACTCTATGTAATTTTGCCTTTTGAAATTTTGCGTTTTGACCCCAGCTTAAGCAGAAATCGTTTTCGGCTCTCCCTTTCACAATCAACGTTCTTCCGGCATTCTCTGCCGATAGTAGTAGGCTTAGTTGTAGGCGGAAGTAGCGCTGGGATGGCAGTAGAGCAGTTGTGGGTTTACTATAAGGTTGGCAGAAGATATTTTCCATTGTTTTGAAAAGTTGCTATTTAATATAGAAGGATGCCGGGCATTCGGGTATAGCTGAGAATATTCTATAATAATCACGGATCTTTGGTTTATATAGATCGCTGTACGCATTTGGTATAAACGCTTCGAGGATGAAGAGACGGATATGCGAAGCGACCGCGTAGTGGACATCCTTAAGTGCTCGAAGTTTCGACATTATTGGGCGCCATTAGGTCCGGATGCGTCACGATTGAGAAGCGCCTTCACGCTCTTGGATACCGAAAAAAATTGGCGAATCAGATACCTCATCAGTTGACCGTCTGCATGAGGAAAGGCCCGCCTGACTATCATTCAATCTCTTCTTTTCCAGTCGCATCGCAAGGAGTTTTTTGAGGACCTGATTACTGGAGATGAGAGCTGGATCCTCTGCGATGCCAATCGTCCTGTTTGTATTGTTGGCTGTGGTCTTTGGCTCCCGCAAGAGAACAGCCAACACGGCCAAAGTCCAGTCAACCCAAACAGGCTGTTCTCTCATGTTTCTGGCACTCCGAAGGAGTGTTGCTACCATTCTCTACCGCAGGACATTACTATCACCTTCAGAAATTGGCGGATGCCGTAAAAAAAGCGCCCAAGAAGGGCTACCGTCTACCTTCTCCATGACAACGCTCGGCCTCATGTCGCTTCGACGACTTGTGAAAAATTGATGGAGCTCGGATGGCATCCCGTTGTACACCCTACTTACCATACCTTGCGCCGCCAGACCATCATTTGTTCACACTGCTCAAACCTTTCTTGTATGAAAACTTCCGTTGAATATTATGTAATACTGATGTAATGTCGCCAGTCACCGAGTTCTTCGACTTCCCGACTCCAGTATTCTGGGAGAAGGGGATCGGTGATTCGATTTAGTGGATCAATGTTATTGTTAATGACGGTGAATATATGGTGGATGAATTGCTGTGTCATACAAAAGAAAAATAAAATTGAAAAAAGTTTCAAATCGGAGCGTGCTTTTTTTGCCAACCTAATATACAAGCGAGAAGCTGCAGAGTGGTACACTGTACGTTATGACTCTCAAAATTTTTGAAATGGTTATACATTTCGAGGATCACCAGAGAGTGGTTCTGACCCTATAAATATAAGCCAAAAAGCTCTTCAAATAAAGGTGAGCATTGATGTGAGGAAAAAGGTACCGCGTGCGCGTTCAATAACACATATATCTCCTTGCTCGCAAAGGGCAAAATTACAAGATACCAACGAATTTTGTGGGTGAAAAAACCACTCACAAAAACAAATTGTTCTGTCAAATACTTCCAACCCAAGGGACAAATGTACATTTTTATGTGATAGCGGGAACCAAGTTTTTCTCAAAGTTTTCCATGTTCCCAATCTGGTTATAGCAAATTCTAATCGGATTTCTTACATTACTTCGTGATAACTACTACGACTAACGTTTTCCATTGCTTTCCATCCTGCTCGCTGTATTCACGGTATCACCAAAGAGGCAGTATCGAGGCATTGTTAATCCCACCACGCCTGCGACCACGGAACCTGAAGGTAACGACTGTGGGAATCTTCAAATAACATACAGATTACATCAAAATACATACACGTTGCCAAACCCATCTAAAATGTGTCCATTTTAGCAGAGCTGGCAAAAGTAGATCTTATAGTACGACGCAAGCCCCAGCACCAACAGGAAGATGACCAATCACACCAAACTGTGGCAGGATCTTTATTTTCGCTATAACTCCACCAACAATCACCCCATATATTATATATATAATTTGCTCTGTCTGTTTGTTTGTTTGTTATGTTTGTTTGTTTGTTATGTTTGTTAGTTTAGTTTGTTTGTTTGTAAGTTTGTAAGTTTGTCT